ACACAAATTAATCTGTACAAGGCTAAGTCAAAGGACTTTTATAATTTGCTTAACGTCAAGATTCACACCGAAGATCAAACGGGCCCTAAACGTTGGAGCGAAAAACTCTCGTTAAAAAAGGACGTGTGGACTAAGATCTTTAAATCACTAAAAAACATTTGTAAGGAAACTAAACTCAAAGAGTTTCAATTTAAATTAATCCATAGAACGATAGTAACTAAGAAAGAATTATTTAGATTTGGTATTAAGGCGGACGAGGAGTGTCTATACTGCGGAGATAAAGATTCAATTGAGCACTCTTTTATCGAATGTATGTTTACCAAATTGTTTACCCAAAACGTCTTGAACTGGTTCAACCAAGTGAATGCGTGCCAAATTTCTCCTACCACAGAGGAGACCTTGTTCGGTATTACTGCAAGCTCCCACGACATAGCATAATACGGGAATTCAACTACACTACTTTATTTATGCGCCATTATATTTATTCAAGCAAGTTAAATACCCTGGCCATCTCCATTCAGGATTTTATCAGTAAGCTACACATTAAATACAATCTTGAAAATTTGTCTTAATTAAATGTTTTAGTGAGAAGTACTCCTCCCTCCTCAAAGTAAATATACAATATAACGTATTGTAAGTAACTGTATGTACAGCAAGTAATCTAAGTAGAGTATTATATTGTTAGCAGTGTAAGTTGCCCTTATTGCAAGTAATTGTATTTTCTGTAAGGAACTGTATTGAGTGTTGTATTGGCAGCATAAGTAACCCGTATTGTAAGTAACGTAAGTAAGTATTGTAGAACTGTGTTTTGTAAATTAAAATTATTAAACAAAATAAATAAATAAATAAATCGAAGTGTGAGAAGAAGAGAGAAAGGGTTTTTCTGTATTTACTAACTTTTGAGAAACGTTTTTACCGACAATAATTTGTTTGTTGTTGGCTTGATAGTTAGGTTAACTGAGCAGTTTGAAGTTGTTTGTTTGTCCGAGATCGAGAAAACGTCAACTGATTCACCGCAATCCAAGAAAATTTTGTTGTGCCGCTTTGTCAGATTTTGACTGAACATTTTCGCGCAGTTAAATGTGCTTTTGACTTCGTGTATTAAGAAAAAGCAGGGCGAGATTCAATAAAAAATGTTTTTAAAAAGTGTCAATCTTATAAAAGAAATGGTAAGCGTGCAGCGTGTAACTATCGAGTTATGGATGCACTTGGGAGGTTTGCTAAGCACTCAAGAAGTTAGAGTCTCACGATCGCCTCGACTCGTGCGACTCTTACGCTTCGTTCGTGCTAATCAGCCTCCCTCGTGCATCCATAACTCAATAGTTGCACGCTGCACCCTTACCATTTCTTAAAAGATCTAATGTCTAAAAGGTGTGGACAAAAGTATCAGTAGAGAATCTCATTTCTAAGAATACCGGTACATAAGATTAAATTTGGAAATACAGTTAACGATAAAGATTAGCGAAAAAACTGAGCAACGACGTTTCGGTGTCATCCTGGCACCATTTTCAAGTTAAA